GCACTACTATCCCTCCAAGGTGGCAGCTGCTGTGCTGCTGTGCTGTGCTGATTCTAAAGGCTGGAATCCTGTCCCCAAAACTCTCTCCCTGGGCCTGATCCATTATCTGATGCTGCCTGCCCTCCTCTCTGACTCCTGTCTGCCAAGGGCTTGTCCCAGCTTATCCCACAAGTCCTGTTCCATCCCAGCTCATGTCCCTGGCCGGCCGCTGAGCTCTGCTTGGTGGAGAGACTTTAAAGTGGCAGCAATGGGCTAGTTTAAATGATGGTCTACCCTGGAACTTGGCAGTTCTTTTGTTTGTCTGTTTTTGATTTAATGTGAATGCCTTTAGGCTCCACACACAATTTCCACCTCCCCAGAGACCCCACAGCTCCTTATTGCTATCAAACACATAGAAGAAGAAAACCAGCTTTCCTGAGTACCCGCCGGACACTAGGCTCTGTGTAAATATTGGCTCATTTCATCCTTCCAGCAACCCCAAGTGGGTGACATTACTATCTCTATTTACCACCGGAAACGGAGCCTCATGGAAGTTGGGCAACTTGCCCAGATCATACAACTACAGATCAGCAAGTCATAAATTCGTTCGAACCCAGCTTCTGAAGTCCACGCTATTTCCACTATGCATTTAGGCGGCCCCTCTGCGGCAGTGCAGGAGAGGAAACGGAAGGGCAGGAAAGTGAGTGAATGCACAATCAAGGTAGTACAGGAGAGAGGTCGAATGGATGTGTCAAATGGACGTGAACTCAGGGTGCAGCGCTGGGGGCCAGACCCGGCTGGGGGAGACAGGCCAGAGGTGACTGTAGAACAGTGATGTCTGCACTGGCGAGGGAGAACTCAGAGGGAGGCACAACTTGGGACATGTGTCTGAGAGGCTCCAGAAACATCACGACAAAGATTCTGTGTCACAAATCAAACTGGCCAGGAACAGAGCGGGGTGAGAGACAATCTTTCCTGAAGAGTGCTGGTTTGAGCCCTGGGAGGAGAGGAGGGCTCTAGGGAGAGGAGCTCAGGGGATAGAGGGCCAGCCTAAGGACACAGCCTGGGCCTCATGCTGGCACTTGCAGGGTGGGAGGAGGATGAGAAGCTCAACGAAGGGAACGTCAGTGGGGACAGTGGGGCTCCCTCCAAGGAGATGGCAACAGCTGCAGAGCAGGCTGGCGACTGAGGATTACCAGGCCCCAGAAACCTTCGGGCAATCTGAGAGGCAGGGCAGGTGCACAGAGCAGGGTGAGGAATACATAAGTGCAAGTGCTGGCTGCTGTTTCCAGAAGCTTCTCAGTGAAAAGGAGAGAAGAAGAGCTGCAGAAACATGGGGTGTTCCTGTTTAACTGGGGATGAGCTAGTGGGGCACAGGAAGAGGTCAGTGGTAAGGAAACGATGGAGGGAGCCCATGAGAGGGAGAAAAGGGCTGAATCAGGGGTGTCGGTGGAGAAGGTGCTCTCCCTCCTGTGGGTCAGGAGAGTACCTCTTCCCCGAGAGGAAACAGACCATGGAGGACATCCCAGGGATGCTCTGAACTGGAGAGGAGAGCAGCTGGTGGAGCGCAGGTCCAGCAATGAGCTGGGGGCAGCTGCTGAAAGTGAATGGGTCCTCCTTCCCTGTTCACACACCCCGGGAGGGGTGCTCCCCGGGCTCTGTCATTCAACGCAGGGCCCGCAGACCCCCTGCAGGTACGGGCAGAGGCACCCAGCTGGGCCACAGCGCCATCTAAGCATGCACCACCAGCAACCTCCAGACAACAATACGCAGAATGTACTCCTCACTGTTGCTGCAAAAGGACTTTGAATTTTTCTGTCAGGACTGGAGACTATTTTCACTTTTATTTCCTCTCTAGTCCTCTGGCCCACTTCCTCACAAGACAGGGCCTGCCAAGGGCCATGTGGGTTAACTACTGTCTGACCCTCCAAATCAAGCTTTCCTCTGGGCAAAACAACAAACTCAGTGGGGCCCAACCCTGGCCTCGGAAGTGGCAGGAACTCGCTAGCCCTGAGGATCGCTTCTGCCCTGTGACACGGTGCTCTCTACCCCCAACAAACACGCAGATACCCACCTCGCTCTGCTGGGACGATGACTCCTGCCCCAGAAGAGCCCCAGTAAAAGCCACCATCTGGGCAGAAAAAGCTCTTCAGAGACTGGGTCAGTCACTGCTCCCCCCTTTCCTTGGTCTGTTAGTCCTTAAAGACCTCCAATCAGTGACGAGGGTGTCAGGTGGTCTTTGATGAATGCCTTTGTGGTTCCCTCACGCTCCTCCTGCCCATATTTCTGGCTTCTTCTGGCCAAAATACCAGGAGAAAAGCATAGGAATTGGATTCGGTATACTTGGGCTGGGGTCCTGGCTGGTTCCTATCTTCTGTGAGATCTTTCCAGTCACTTCTGAGCCCTAGCTTGCAACGGGGAAAGAGGAAGGAATAGCACCTGTCTTTCTCTTCTCTCAGGGGGCCTGCGAGAAGTTCATCAGGTCAGAAAGGCTATTTTCAACTTGCACAGGGCTCTTGTGATCCCTGGGGTCTAAGCAAGTCCTGCTGGCAGCTCAGCCTCTCTGTCCAGAGCCCCACCGAGCACACGTTCCCCAGCAATCAGTCCCAAGGGAGACACATCTCAGATGAACACGACACAGACATTTGTTTAGGCCTACTCTATGCAGATTCCAGGACCCAAACCAGAATAGACACAGGTCTTGCCCCAAGTTCAGTGAATTGGGGAAGAGCTAACAGAGCAGGCATCTGTCCATGCGGTGCCCCAGGCAGAGAGCCTCTAGGAGACCCTGCTCCATGCCGTTGGGAACATACCAGACCTGTGTTATCAGAGTCCAGACTGAAGAGGAGATGGAGCAAAGGAACCAGGCACCTTAGAGATGCAGACCGGGCCCAGCAGTGGAAGCTAAAGGGTTATTACACTCAGGACTTCCCCCTCACCATCTGGGAGATGAGGAGAATAATCCTGTGTTGGCCTGACTCACTAGGATATCAGGGAGAACAAAATGAGAACAGCAGTGAGAAGGTGCTTTAAAAAGGAAAGAGCTTTGCAAACATGGAATTCGTTTTTCTTCAGCGTCCTCCACCGCGAAGCTGAGATAATCACAGGTCTGTCTAAAGACTGTTGAGCCTTTCCCATGCCTAGCCTAACGGGACTGACTCAGAGGCATCCCGCTCCCTAGCTCTGCAAATCGCCCCCACTGAAATTATCCCAGTTAACACACTTAGTACTTCTGGTGGACGGGGCCTCCCTCTCCTTTCCGTACTCTTTCCACTGCCCTGAGACCCGTGGCGAATGCGTGCTCAGGTGATGCTGCTGACAGATGGAAATGCTGCCCACACTACCCTCATGGCCACCAACCTCAGCCCAGAGAACCTGAGAAAGTCACCTCCTCCATTACCGCCCCTCGGGCAGGACGTCCAGAGCCTGGCTCGCACAGGTGACTTTCTCCTGCCTCTGTCCGGGATCTGAGGGCCTACTCCTTCCAGAGTTCAAAACAAAACACTAATGAAAACAAGAAAGCCTCTACAGGGGCTAGACATTTTCTGCTTCCATCTCACATCCATCTTTCCTGCAGCAATGACTGTACTGTGCCAAGTGGAGCAGAACCACGGGGAGGAGTGGTCAAATAAAGTTTTCACCCGAGCCATCAACTGTACTAAGTCCCTTTCATCGGCCATGTGACAGGGGCAGAGCCAGCAGCGGCACCCTGGGTTTGAGAGGCCCTGCCCAGCCTTTCCCAGCCTAAAATTCTCTCACACACTGAACTGTTCTATTCCCAGAAGTACGTCCATTTCTTTGCATTTTGTCTTCCAGAGCCCTTTTAAACCGCAAACATCTCTGGAGGAAGAAACCATATTCCACTGGCTCTAGTCACGCAGCACCTGTGCCCCATAAATATTTCCTGAATTAAACTGGTTACTAGATGCCTGTCCTCAGGGACAGGGGTCACAGCCCAGGGCTGTGGAGGGTGGGGCTGCAGGGACAGCCTTTTCCCAACCTCACCGCTGGCCTAGAGCAGCCCTGTCAGCCACAGCGAGATAACGGAATTCGGAGAAAGTAAATCTGAAATAGCCAAATATGGAAACTCTGCAGGAGGGGGCAGAACCAGCCGAGACAGAAAGCGGCAGAGGGGCCCAGTGGAGTCAGCGACAAGAGCGAGGCCCCAGTATTCACTGAAAAGACTCAAAATTGCCCAAACGCTGCAGAGTGGCAGTCAGGAGGCGATCTGGTCTGGAAAACCCAGATTCCACCAATCCTCTGGGTGTCCCTGGGCAACTCACTTCACCTCCCGGAACCTTGGTTTCCTCCAATACCCCTCCGAGCTCAGCTTGGGTGTGCATGCGTGTGTGTGTGTGTGTGTGTGTGTGTGTGTGTGTGTGTGTGTCTGTGTCTAAATGAGCACGCTCAATCGAACAGTTCGTGGAGGTTTCCATTCATTCCGATGTTAAAGTTTCATTTCGGAGGGCTCGGGTTGGAGAAGTCCTGCAGAAGTGGAGGGTGCGCCGAAGGGTACGGATGGAGAGCCAGGGCTTTGCAGAGCGTGCGTGCCGGGCGCGCCTGGAAATCGCCCCTCCAGGCCACAGCCGCGCTCTGCAGCAGCTCCCCAGCCCGAGACCCCTGGTCTCCGTCCGCGACACAACCCCTCCCAGCAAAGAAAACCCGCTCGGAGCCGCGGAGCCCAGCTGTGTCCCCGAGCCCCCAACAGCAGCCCCTCGCCCGAAGCAGCCGCCACCAACACAGCGGGTTCCCCCGCTGCCCCCACCCACCCACCGCGGCCGCCCCGCGCCCTCCCCGCGGTGGTCCGGAACTCTCCGGACGCCAGGAGACGCCAGCAGCCGAGCGCCAGGCGCCGGGAGGGGGCTGCGGGGCTCGTGCAGCTGTGGCGCTTTCGGTTTCAAAACAAACGGGACGAGCCGAAGAACGCTCCTCAGTCCCCTCACTCCACCCTACAGCCGCGGGGCTTGGGGCTTATCAGCGCGGCGCGGCCACCGCCCCGGCGGCGACCTGCCGGGACTCACGTGTGGCTCGGCGCGGAGGCTCAGCCGGTGCTGGTCCGCAGGCTCGCGGCTACTCCAGGAAGCGGCCCGCGACCAGGCGGGGGCCAGGCTCTCAGCCCCCCCAGCCCTGCTCGCAGAGCCCGGCCTGGGGAGGAAGGAGGGCGGGCCCGGGACCCGGGAAGGGCGGGGCCTGGGGCGGGGCCCCGGAGCGGTCGGGGCGAGGGGCGCAGGCCGCGGGGGAAGGGCGGACGCGTCGGGAGGTGTCGGGTAGGACGTCGAGAGTTACTGAGCAGTTAGAAATCTAACCGAACCTCACTGGAATCACAAGTACCTACAAACAAAAAGCATCTCAGATTTTCCTCAAGTGCCTTGGAACTGTACACATCTTACCCTTCAACCTGGGACAACAAAGCTCGGCCAGTCCTTACCTGTTTTGACTCCCTTAGCTCAAGGTCTCGGGTCTGGTTTGAACCAGTCCTTCCCCATCTTCCTTAGCAGTAGCACAAATTCGCCTGCCTTGCTGCTGGTCTAGCAATCCCTTAGAGTTGTTGAGGTTGACCTTGACCTTCGACCAAGGGCGTCCCAAGTATCTCTTTGGATCTTCAAAACAACCTTGTGAAGTAGGCTTGGTCCTTCTCAGTTTACCGATGAGCTATCTGAGGTCCAGAGAAGTGACCTGAAGTGAAGTGCCCGAAGGTGGACACTCAGCAAGTGCTTGTAGCTACAACTGAAATCCAGCCTTCCAGACTCCTAAACACAGGACTCTTTCTTACAATACTTCTCTCCATGAGCATATGTTTGTTTGTTTGTTTTTACAAATAGTTTATTGTCAAATTAGTTTCCACATAACACCCAGTGCTCATCCCCACAAGTGCCCTCCTCCATGCCCATCCCTCCCTCCCCCCCACATCCATCAGTCCTCAGTTTTTGTCAGCATTCAAGAGTCTCTCATGGTTTGCCTCTCTCCCTTTCCCCCACCATTTCCCCCCTTCTTCTCCCCCTTGTTCCTCAGTTAAGTTCCTCCTAATCCTCCTATATGTGCAAACATGTGATATTTGTCCTTCTCCGCCTGACTTATTTCGCTCAGCATAACACCCTCAAGGTCCATCCATGTTGCTACACGTGGCCAGATTTCATTGTTTCTCATTGCCGTGTAGTATTCCATGGTATAGATAAACCACATCTTCTTGATCCATTCGTCCGTTGATGGACACTTAGGCTCTTTCCATGTTTTAGCTATTGTTGAGAGTCATGAGCATATGTTCTGAATGATATGGGTAGGCTATATAAATTTCCTCTGTGGAGGTCCATGGAGCATGAAGAGTGAGGACTTTGGAATGAAATAGATCAGAACTCCAATTCTAGCTTCCTCACTTTCAGTTAGGCAACCGTGGGCAAGTTGATTGTACTGAGTGAGCTTCAATTACTCATCAGTAAAAGGGGGAGAATTAGTAAAATGCACCACCCAGATATGCATAGGAGCCAGGCAGAAACAGACAGGAAGGAGGCTGAGGTTGCAATCATGGCGGAGGGGGAGGGACACTGGTGCACTAAAGAGCTTGGGCAGGATCTGGAGGAGCAGGCAGGCTCAGACTCTGTGCCAGTCTGTCCTCCTGTGGTCTCTATTTTTCAACAAGAGCCAGAAATCCAGATTCCAACTTTTTGATTGGTGAGCCAGATTAACCACTCCAGTGGGCATTGCTTTGGGACTCTAGATCCACCTCACAATCGTGTGTGAAATAAAGAAGATAGCATTTCTGCATTCCTGAAACAGAGTAGGCGCTCTGTGAACCTCACTCTCTCTCCTTGTTCCCTCATACATCTTCTCTTATCATTCCTACTTCCTGACTCATTCCCCACCCCCACCCCCACCTCTACACACACCCTGACCAGCATCTATAAGTCCTTGTTGATATGTTTTGTGAAGGTACATCTCCTTTCACTGGCTAGAAACATTTGCAGATATGCGCTGGGCTCTTGGTACTGTCACTGACTGTGATTCCATGGTTTCTCCCCGCTCCTCTTCCAATCAACTGAATAAAGCAGCCAATTTGTCCCTAGAATCATATCTGAGTTGTAACTACAATGAAATCAGATGCTTGGACAGATAGTGAATCTTTAGCTGTGGGAAGTGGGGGCTGCATGATTTCAGGGCTAGGAAGTTGGGAGATAGAGGAATTTTCAATAGGTGTTAGTGTTAGTCAGAACTGAAGGTCATGTTCCCAGCTCCCCATATTGATCACAGAATCCTGGGCAAGGTGTCTGGGAGAATAGAAGATGGACCCTTGGAATAGACCAGTCTGATGGAAGAGACATGATCTCTTTCTTCAAGGATCTTGAAGATGGATGGGAAGGACAGAATGTAAATGCACATAGAAAACCAGTATTAAATACTTGCAGGTGATAGTTAACATTTATTTTCTTATTATATACCAGGTACTGTGCTCAGTGCTTTGTTCATATCAAACGATTAATCATCAACCCTATTTTATAGATAAGAAAATGCATCTCATGAATAATTTGCCCAATTGCAAAATTCTTAGTTTGGGAAAGGTAGGATTTTAACCTTGGAAGTCTGGTTCTAGTGCTCTTAACCACTATCTGTGTGTAAATTCAAACAGAACAACTTTAAGAAGGAGACAAATGTTAGCAGTTTTAGTGTTCTGAAAATATCTGCAATGTTACAAAGAGAATCCAGTCTTCAAACTAAATCCATCTAATAAAAATAAGGACAAGATTGGACTATATACCAAGTTTTGACACAGAATAAAAGGGCTAAACTTTTTATCTCTTTTAAACACCCTAAATTTACCCCCAAACTTCAAAAGACATGACTTTCAGGTTATAAATAAATAAATATAAATAAATTATAAATTAATAATTATAAATTATTATTATAATTAATAGGGTAGGCAATTGTAGTCAATGGAAAGATTGTGTTGATAGAGAGGGGAGGGCGCCACCTACTGGAACAATAGATGGATGCATTACCTTCCTCACGCTGCCCTTCTGTGACAAGACTGATCAATACAGGCAGTTAGAGCAGAGTAAAAGGTCATATCTTCCACCACCTAGAGATCAGTGAGATGAGACTAAAAGGAAAAATATTTTTCTTGACTCTTAGATTGCACCTTTAACTTCCATTGTAACTTACAATGGAAATTCTTTGCTCTTAATGGAACCACACATGGAAAATGTGATATAGCAGCAAACCACTCTTAGGCAAAAAGCAAAACCTCAGAGTGCTGAGCATATAGAATGCCCACTTGCTCACTAAGCAGGTCATGCATCGAGGTAATAAATATGTGGGTTTTCTATATTTAAATTCTTGACCCAATGATATGTGGTCCCTTTGCTTTCATCAAACAACCTTTACTCCAGTTCTGCCTATCAGTGTGCCAAGCAAGCACCACAAGAAGAGAGGCAGGGAGTGCTGGGAACACGGAGCTTTTCCCAGGATGGATGTAATTATTAAAAAAAGAAAAATAAGACTTGTTTTCTAAAGACTGGTTTTCCATTATCCTACATCCATTATCTGGAAGTACCAGAGTTTACTTATCCATTCACGTAGTTAAGGTCATCATGGTTGTTTCCCATTACGAAGTGGAATTAATTGGCAATTATGAATAAAGCTACTATAAATTTATATGCAGATTTTGGTGAGGTATACATCTCCATATAGTCTGTTTTTGTTCCAGAGGATCCCTCTCTCAATATATACATTCCTCCCTTCCCTTCTCTGTTCATGGTTTGATTGTGTGATTGTCAGCTCTTTTGTTGCAGCAATTAGATTTTTATTGTTTTTTTAAAAAATTTTTAATGTTTTATTTATTTCTAGGAGAGAGAGAGAGACAGCGTGAACAGGGGAGGGTCAGAGAGAGAGGGAGTCACAGACTCTGAAACAGGCTCCAGGCTCTGAGCTGGCAGTCAGCACAGAGGCTCTGAGCTGGGGCTCGAACCCACGAACCATGAGATCATGACCCAAGCGAAAGTCGGGCACTTAACCGACTAAGCCACCCAGGCGCCCCAGATTTTTATTGTTTTAAAATTAGGCCTGCTGTCTTCACTGTATGTTTGGCCAGATGTGGATTCTGTCCATTTTGACAGTTCCTTTAAGAAGATTCACACATGCAATTCCTATCAGTGCTTGGAAAAACATTTTAACATGTTAACTCTGCATAGTCACTGTAGCGCATTAAAAAAAAATGTTTTTTAAGGTTATTATTTAGCCTTAGGAACCATGAAGTAAGATCATGGGTTTGATTGGCACGATCTGTCTGGTTTTGTTAGACCTTGTAATAGGTCGGTAACAAGGAAGACTATTCATTATTTGGTATTTCTTTTTCTTTCCTTTTCTTTTTTCTTTTCTTTTCTTTTCTTTCCTTTCCTTTCCTTTCCTTTCTTTCTTTCTTTTTTTTTAAGCAATGCTCTTAGAAACCTGGCTATCCACATGCTGTTTCACAAACAGGACAGAAGCATCAATGAATGTAACGCATATGCTCAGAAAGGGCTTATAGAGCTAACATGGGAAAAACTGACAAATTTCAAATGCCTTTGACTTTGACAACACCTCCATAGTCCATGACATTGTCCCTCTATCCTGAGAAGCCCCATACAGTCCTCAGCATCACAATGAGGGCCTCTCATTCTGCTACACCATTCTGGGGCTGCTGCATCCACTGTATACACTTTGGTTACTTTTCTTTTCCTTTTTTAAACAAATTTACTGTCATACTTTCAATACCACAAAATCCGCCCAGTGAAGTTTAGTAAATGCATACAGTTATGCAACCATAACCACAATAAAATCTTAGAACCAACCCATCACTCTGTGAGTCCTTTTGCAGTCCATCACTACTCCCAGCCCTGGATCTGCTTTCTGTTTCTATAGTTTTGCAGTTTCGGGGAAATATATATAAATAACGACACAGTATTTTGTGTCAATTGGAATAAATGAGGTTCATCTAGTTTGTTGCATATATCAATTGTTTTTCCCTTTCTGTTGCTGATTAGTATACCATTGTATGCATACACCACACTTTGTTTATCTCTTCACCAGCTGATAGGCATTTGGATTATGTTCGGTACTGGGATATTATGAATAGCGCTGCCATGAGTACTTAAGCACAAGTTTT